TCTCATGTACACGGTGAGCAAGATAAAAATTTATCACTACCAACGTGAAAAGAGAATCTTACTTATTGTTATTTCAACCTGAAGTTTTTATCTTGTCCATTATGGGTGGGAGATCAACCATATTGGAGACATATCTAGTGCATAGTTGTTTGTCCAACATATATGGGTCGCTGGGGACATGTAAAGGATAAGTACATGGGCGTGTTAGTGACGTTCAAACCACAAAACCATTCCCCCACGTGAAACAAGAGGCAGACAACACAAGTTGTATTCCAACTTTTTCCAACTTAAAGTCAAATTGTCCTTCCATAGGGTTGTTTGTGTTGCACATTTTATTTCTTTTTTGTAAATGTAATAAAATATGATTTTACTAAAGTTTCTTTACTTATGATCCACTGAATCCTATCTACTGGTAAAATGAAAAATACATAAGAAACTTCTCTTAAGTTTTTCTTCGAGAAGATGAAAAAATGAAAAAATACATATCTCCCTACTCTATTAAAAGAGGGGATACTTCCTACACTATTCATTCTTGACGTATTTTGTTTCTCCCTACTCTATTAAAAGAGGGGATACTTCCTGCACTTTTCATTCTTGACGTATTTTGTTTCCCCATTTTACCCTTTTACTATTCACAAAATATCTCTCTTCAACAAAGGCTTCAATGGTTCACTTGTCCGACTCGTTTCACTGTTTTAGCCTTTTAACCTCTTTTCCGTTCTTTTTCCTTCATTTCCCTTTTCCTCAAATGGAGATCGGTTTTACAGCTTACCGAAGGCTCGCCGAAGTCGAGGTAACACTTCTTACACTGCTAAATATACTTCGAGATCTGTCTTACTTAGCTGTAGGAACTTTTCTTCATTTGTTTTTTTTTTCTTTAACGGAGTAGAAGGAGGAAATTCAATTTATAATCGAAGCCAATAGGACCACGTCGACATGCTTGCGGCCTCGACCCACCTCGAGTCTCCGCGCTGTGGAGAGGAGTCAGCGGTAATTTTTTTACTCTCAATCGTGTACGCACACACACGTATAAGGTAATATTATAATTATAGTGTTTTTGTGTAGAAATTAAGGTGAAGAAGCCTCGATTCGGTTCAGACCTATGAAGTAGTGTAGAAATGAAACACTAGTAATATTTCATATTTGCTTTCATGTAGGGTAATCTTATTTTACAAAGAAACTTTTCTATTTGTAGATTTTGGATGATTTTAGCTTCCAATTTTAGGTGTTTTTTTGGTAAATTTTTTGTTGCTTTAATTTTTTTCCTTTATTGTTTATAGTGGAATGTTTCATTTGGGATTAAAGGGCGTTGCTTTAATTATCAATGGAATGGTTGATTTGCCTTTGGCTCAAACTGGTAAATGTAGAACTGTGAACTTCTTCAATGGTTTGTACAGAAGTTGAGCCAATTAATCAACACTGTCATTGATTCTGTAAATGATTTTTTTTACCCAGTACAGTTCTTGTTTATTTAAATTGTTCCAATTTGCTGGAATTGAAGATTTTATATGTTGCCAGTTTGATTGTATTGTTTTTATATAGCTCTCTTTCATTTTTAAGGTTACCTCAAATGGTGATGCTATTTGAAGTTGTGGTTTTCCTTGCCGTGATTATCATTATATTTGATGTTATATTCCAATCAAGTTAAAACAATTGTATCGTTTAGAATCAATTGGATATTTGATCTATGTGAAGATCAAAGTGACAAAGTGTTTTTTAATGAATGATTTGTTTATGGACTATTGCTGTTCCATATGTAGATTACAGTGGACAGAACATGTCCTCTTATTGCTACGAAGTGATTGAGTTGCTACTTGCTAGGTTTTCATCTGCCATTTTGTCTGAATATTTCTATTTATTTGCATTGCTATTTGTGGTGTAATTTTTGTTTGTGAGATGCTATGACTGGAAGGGGCCTAAGTAAACTTGAGGAAAATACGAGTGGGAAACTTACAGGTGATGTGCTTTTGTTGTAGTGGAAGTCAAGTTCTATTAATGTTATTTTACAAAATTTCATCTTCCCTTTGGTTGAAATTCGAGCCAATTTTTCCTAAGATATCGTATAATATTTGTATTTTCCTCATAAAGCTGAACAAGCAGTAACCATTCCAGTAGTTCAATTCAGCAAATTGTAATTTGGAATCACTTATTAAAGGTCGAGTAGTTCAATTCAGCAAATTTTATTTTGGAATCACTTATTAAAGGTGGTGATTATTTTTTTGGCTAGCTGTCCGTATAGCAGCTTGTTATAGTTCGTTCTTGTGTCTCTATAATGTCGAATATTTATCATGATAGTTTTCTTATCTCTATTACAGATACTCCTCATTCTCAGTAAAATGTAAATGTTACGCGCTTGTGTATGTCTTCCTGTTTTTATTTTGAGTATGCAAACCAGTGCAATGAGGCTTGTGCATTTTAACGTGTTGGATTTGTGATTTTCTAAAGTTTTATTATGTTGAAGACCATTCCACTTTCCCATTTCACTCTAATACTGACAGATCTTCAAACTTGAACCTTCTATTCGGCATTCTTGATAAATCTGCTTCCTCGGACTTAAGGTTTTGAACTGGAGTGCTGCGATTTTTGTTAGATAAGGTTTTATTTTTGGGGGGTTTGGGGATTTTATTTATTTTTGGGGATTTTGGGATTTCATTTTAGCAAATGACGAGTTCTTTTTTTTTTTTGATTTTAGAAGTTGTGAAACTTTCGTAATCTTTTTGTAACATCTTTTTATACCTTTCCTAATATCTCTAAATAGGTAAAATTTCAACTTTGCCAGCACCGTAGGCGGCCATTGACATATACTTTGGACGACGAAGACGAAGAAAAAGAAGGATCCGTCGTGAGCTAATACCTGGAGTTGGATAAAGATCTGTTTTTGGGGTTCTCCATTTCCCTTCTTTGCAATTCTACTTTTTAAGTTTAATCACATTTTTCTTTGCCTAAATTTAGGGGGTTTTGAGAACTTGAAGTTGATTGCTTTCATTTACTTTTTCCAAAAATACTGTTGGAAGTTTCTCAGATATTCTGTAAACTATCTGATTACCTCTAATTCAGTTAAATTAGCCAGGTGGTCACTGGTCTCTCTGTTTGTGTCTTATAATTTGATTTGCTTCAATTCAATTTTCTTCTATTGGTATCATAGAGAAAAAGGCATGGATGTGTTATTAAACATAGCCAAGCCAGAAAAAAAAATTCAACTAAATTTGAATCGGTGGACATAAAAGACGAAATGGAATTTCCTGCCGTATGTGTGCCTATGTATCTGTGCCAGAATGAATTGTCTGAATATGGCCCTGGTAACCTAGAGGCTTGTCACTCCAAAGAACTTGCATTATTGCACATCAAATCTTGTTTCTTGGGGCAGAGACCATTAAATTTTCTTTTTCCAATTTTCCTGCACTTCATATTCACTGCTCAGGGCTGTTTTGCTTTTATTTTTGTTTATACTCTATTTGTTGCCCCTGCAGATCAAGTCAATTGATGTCTGTTCTATATATCTAAGTGTAATGATTTTGAGGTTGATTTTCTTGCTTGTCTTTAATATGTTGGACAGTGACTACTTTATAATCTAGAGTAATGATACTTTCTTCATGCATGTCATTAGTCATATTATGTGTGTTTGTAGACGAGTTTTATATATTTCGAAGAACTAACATTGGTGTATGCCATAAGTGAGTTAGGAAAATCTTTCATATTGTAGAAGAGGAAAATCTTGTGCTTTAGACATGAAGAATTTTGATCAGGCACCCCAAATCCTAAGTCTGTTAAGGAGGTTCTTCATGAGGAGTTGGAGAAGGTGGAAGTTGATAAACCAAATGTTGACAACATAAATTGGGTTTCAAATCTCGAAGAGGTAATAATGTCATTTCTTTTATTTTGTATTTTTTGAATTTGCATGTTCTCGTGTAATTAGTGGCCTGGTTGAACCCTAGCATGATCACCTGGAAACAATGTCCCTTTCTCAAATCGTAAAACACAATACATATACCATTTGAAGGAAAATAGGGATTTCGACGTTCACTTTGAATTCTGACATTTGCTTCTCGTTTTTTTGTATTATCAGTTATTTCCCGGCTATTGGAGGATGAAGGTGTTGTGGAGGGCATTGGAGGCTCTTGAGCTGGTTTTCTCACCTTCAGTCGCTCAACCTCAAAGGAAAGCCGCACCATGCTGTTTTTAACCTTATCCCCGAAGACAGGTGTGGATACGTTTCTCGTGATCTTCCGTTGGCATGTGACCCTTCTGTTAGTTAATTGTTGTATAGCACAGTTATTAAACTATTGATTGATTTATGACAAGGCTTTCTTTGTTTGTAGTCCATTATAGTCGTTTGTTAAATTTATGTTATTTCCACTGGGCTTTTGGATGCGAACAGGCTGTTTAGAAGCTCAGCAATGGTGATGCGATCAATCAAAATTATTTCATCGTTAAATTGAAATAATTTTTTGAATTTTTTTCTATTAAATTCTCTTCTCTCTCTCTCAGTCGTTTTGTTTTCTTAACATCTGCACTGGCAACAGTTTATCAACCAAATATAATCTGGTGAAGTGAATCAATTTAATTCTTTGCTATAAGTTTTGTTTTTTAGTTTGCTTCCCAACTGTACATTCTTTGATACAAAAAAGCTTCTGATGACAGCATGTCAATATTGGTCATCTTCTTTGGTGATCTTAACAATTGGTAAGTGATGTCCATACAGGAAGTTCTAGATTCGATTAGTTTGCACCATTCATTCTTTAAATCATGATTGTGTATATAATCCTTTGTTAAATCATGGAATATGTACCTTGTTGATTTAAACTTCCTTTTTGGCTTGACTTACTCTGGATTTGAATGCAAATTGCTATTACGCTTGGTTTTCCTAATACAGGTGCATGATCTAGATTTTAACATATATGGTTGCCGTTCTTACCTTGTGAACAGTGATGGACATGAACTGGAACTGGATTTCAAGAGATATTGGAAAGGGTTTCGTTCATCTACTTCTGAAAAGGTACTTACAGACACATTGTACAGTAGGTCTACATGGATGATTGGCATAGATATATCAGAAGAAACTCCAGGTATGACCTCTTTTCTGTGTTAATGCAGGACAAAGAAAAAACCTTGAATTGGACTGTAAATATATTTTGTAGATTAGTGAAGCAGCACCCAAATATAACTCAATTCTCGAGTAGAGATTGGAATAGATCCATAATTTTATAGTCTTCGACCTCTTGGCTTGAATTATTTAAAGATTGTGTTCTTACTACTTTCACCAATTTCTGGTAATACTTGTGCTTGAATTACCCACCTTTGATATTAGTCGTAGAAAGTTTTGAGGAATTGTAGTTTTCAGATAAAGTTTAGGGCGTGTTCGGTAGAGATTAAAATCAGATTAAACTTGAAAAACTAGTCGTTATTGTTGACTTTTATTAGACGAGTGAGACCCAATAACGGTTATATTTTCAATTTTAATTGAATTTTAATTTTTACCAAACAAGCTCTTAATAGTCAGCACCTCTCTGTTAGCCCTATATTTTTGATGGATTCTGCCATATTGGTTCACATGAAATTGCAAAATGAACGGCTTACCGTTCTCCAAACCTTTATTATTTTGGCAATAACTTCATTTCATCTATATGAGATACGCACATTGAAATGATTGAAATTGTGGTTTTGCTGTTGCAGTTTTTGCTTTCTTCAAATAAACATTGAATTCAGGATACAATTCACGAGAATCTAACACATTGAACACACTAACATCACCTTGAAAATAACCTAGCCCGTGCGTTGCACGGGCAATCGACTAGAATATATATAAGAATGAATCGACATCAATTTAAGTTTTTCTTGTTAGAAGAAATATACGATGGAGCTGCGCCAATATGGTATAACAAAGAGGGTAAACTTTACGATTATTTGTATGGATTGTGTCTTCCTCTATATATAAAACTAATAATTCGTGGTTTAGATTCCAATTATTCATTTAAACTATTCGAATCGGACTACAATGCGATAGAACTAGTGTGTTCGGTGTAGTTCCTGTTAAAATGATTTGGTCTTGAGTCTCACAATCGGGAACCAAATTATTTTGATCTAATTCTTGATTCTAGCTACATAATTTAATTATAATTTAGTTCTAAAAATTTTATTTTACATTCTTTTAGTTAAATCATAATATATACGAGTCCACGTGAATATTTAATATGAATTTAGAATAATCTACACTTTTATCGCCTAAAATGTGAATTTGTATTATTATAACGTTGCGTAATGAGGTATGGTGGAATGAACTCTATTTTTGATCGGGTTAATTGAGACCCTGAACTTGCTCAATATTACATTAACTTTTTTCGATGAACACCATCTAATTTCTTCCAAATAAAATCGAGCTTTCGAAGGGAACTCTTTTGTGAAAGTTTGCCTTTATTTCTATCTTCAATGGAATATACTCAAAACGAAATAAAAAAAATCTTCAAAGAAACCTCGTACATTTGACTAAACTCTTCGCAACAACACACTAAATTACATAATAGCATAATTAGAAGAAAATAAGCATCCAAATCATTCAGCTTTCTAGCCTAAGTACATAAGTCATCATCAGTAATTTTGTACATCATTTCAACTTCTAAATCATTTTCTCTTTTTTTTTTGTCTTCAAGTAAGTTTTCAAGCTGACATTCATGAAGCAGTGAATAGCAGTGTTCTGAAAAAACACGTTTCCTTAATAGTAAAAGAGAAATTAAGCGGTCAACTTAACAATTGACCGCTTAATGACCGTTTAGACGCACTTTGTTAATTTTTATTTTATTTTATTTTTTCCCTTTTTAAAAAACCCTTTTTGATTTAGTTTCCAGTTTTTACTTTGAAAATTGTATAATTGACTAATGGTAAGAATTATTAAGTAAATATAACAATTTATAGTTTTATATATTTGTTATGTATTATTTTAATTATTAAATGACTTTTAGAATGATTAAAATTTTTAAATAATATTAAAAATTAGAAAACATTTTTTTACTTAGCCAGATAGAGGAGTTTTGGTTGCTCTTAGCACTTGAACTTTTAGAAAAATGTTGCTTTCTTAAACATGAGATTGTATTTATTAACTTTATTATTAGATGTTAGTTTTTAAATTAACATTGCAAATCATATGTACTATAATAAAAAAAACAAAGCGTAAACAAAAGTTTTTTGATTTTTTTTTTTTGGGAAATCATATGCGTATATACCAATTGTGTAACATTAAGCCCCTATTTGTTTTAGATAAAAATCAAAATTTTAGTATATTTTGATAAATATTGATGGAATGTGTGGTTCAAAAGTTGTGTCCTATAAAAATATGATTAAAATGAATTATTAACTTGACTTAGATTTTAATATAATATTTTAGCTTTAAAAAAGGGGCTAAATGAAGCTTAATTGAGATGGTAAATTATGCAGAAAATAAGAATATTTATTAAAGGGCCAAATAACATTCACACGAATTTAAAATTAAATGGGGACTTTACATATATACTATTAAAACTTGGACCATTTTGAAATATTAGTATAAAAAGTAAGGCATATAATTTATCAAGCTTTAATTATAGGTAAAACCTTATTACGGTCCGTTTGATTGCAAGAATGGAATTTGGATGGAAAGAAAATGAATTCTAGGAAATTGAATTGCCTAGAATTATTTTCATGGGAATTATCAATTAATTGTGTTTGATTAGTATAATTTTCCACGTGAAAAATATTGAAATTTTGAATATTTTGGTATTCGTTTGATTTTGTTTTATATAGAAATTGTCCATTAAATGAATATAATTTATTACAAATGGGGATATAATTTGTTTCCATTGTTAAAAAAAAAAGGTGGAAAACCATTTTTCCCCCAAAGTAGTGAGAAAACCAATTTAATGAAAACCAAGAAAAGGGGGTCACGTGGAAGGTTAGGGGGAAAACCAATTTCAAGGAAAATTTTCCATATCAAACAATGTAAAAGGTGGAAAATGGAAAATTGAGGATATAAAACATGGCCTTAAAGGAAAACAAAGCCCCTATTTGACAACCATTTTTTTCAAACTTTTATATATATATATATATATATTCATTTTCAACTACATATATATACAATAAAATATTTTGCACGTAAATCTAAATTTTTTTCTATTTTTCAACCACGCATTACCCCGAAAATTACAATTCAAAACTCCATTTTCCACAAAAAATGATTATCATACCATAAAAATGGGATGTTTTGGACTCGCATCCACAATTATGAAGACTCCAAACTAAGCCCATATTTGGTCCCTATTGTTTTAAAATCCCTTTTGCTACACGATTATTTTCAATTGAATAATGTTATTTACAGTCAATGGTGTTAAAACACTAATTTATGTTGTATATAGACAGCATTAAATGATAAGTCTAATTAAATGTGTTGTTATGATATTCATTTAATTGAGTCTTTCACGTGTTGCCATCTAGATTGGTGTTTAGTGATGAATAACATTACTCTTTTCAACCATATATTCACACAATAAAATATTTTGCACATATATTAATTTTTT